CCGCGTTTTTAGGCCCGAACGTGGGAAATAGCCGAACGCCATTTCCCACGTTTGTGCTTATGTGTAGGTGCTGCTCTCGTGACCGGAAACCAGAAAACAAGTAACGAAGGTGGTTTAGAAGCCGGTGAAGGAGCCTGGAGGTTGGTGTCAAGAGCTGAAAACGAGGGACTGGAAACTCGAGGCAAGATTCGGCGGCAACCTCGACCGGAAGTGCAGGTAACTAAAGAGACAAACGGCTTGCAAGACAAAGGTAAGTAGGGGGGTAGGGTTTATATAGGATCATTACTCCTCCCACAAATTCAGGCCAGATAGCCTTCCAACATATATATATATATATATTGTCAAAACCAGAAATTTATATATATATATATATATATAAACAGAAATGATTGGCACTCCTCCTTTCAATATAAAAAACTCTCTTAATACCTAGGTGCAAAATCCCGCGTTAATATATAAACAGACAAATATAAAGGAGCACTCTAGGTCTTCAAAATAGTGAAAAAACATTTATTGTATTTCCAAAAAATACATCAACTGTACATATTCAAAATCGACGTTTCAACCCTCCTGGGGTCTTTATCAAGATCACAGTAAAGAGTGAGTAGTGACAATATATAAGTAAAATATAATTACCTTACCAATGAAGTGATATGACAGGCGGCAGACTGATGGAACCAGAAGTGGGAAAATCCACGTGAGTAGTGTGTACGTGGCGTGATCAGCGTGGTTGCTAAGCAACCCAGAGAGACAATCTATGGGTTGCTAAGCAACTAAAGTAACATAGAGAAAGCACATTGGGTAACTGGTATGGAGGAATACCGTAACGGTTTATGGATAGAGAGAAGACTGAAGTGTTTGGAAAGGTGGTGTATAGTGCTGTGTGTGTCTAAAAACTTGTGAAAAAGAGCAAACCAAATAAAGTGAAGTGTATGCATCAAGGTGTAAATAAAGAGTGATAAGGGTGGTAGTCCAAAACCTCATAGTCTTAAGAAAAATACATAACCTTAGAAACATAACTAAAGAAGGTATCATAACATATTCTACGGAGTATAGGGAACATCCTATCTCTTACAAAAGCAAACAAATATTTTTTTTTTTTATAAATCAGCGTATACTGTAAGCCATCATCCAGGAACATCTCTAAATATATATATATATAAAAAAAAACACTTCAAGTAGTTTATCACTCAGGGATGTCTGCAAGGCTAGAAATTTAACTAAATAGAGCTCTCGCTATAAATGTAAATATATATATAGAAAATAAAAACCAATGCTAAATAAAGACAATTACGAAGGGGACTGCATCGGCCAGAATTCATAAATGTCTCAGCCTAATTCTATACATACAAAAGAGGCATTGGGAATGCACCAGGTATTTAAATATTAGTAACTCATTCAGAGGAATGATAGAGACATTAGGGCATAAACAATACGTCAAAAATAATTATTGTAAGTAGGACGTGTATTGTACTCTGCACCTTTACAAATTTAAAGGAACATAGAGTAGATTAGATTTTCGCTAAGTCCCTCCGGGGTCACGGTGTCCAGATGCTGAATACAATAGGCTTTTCGCTGTAAGAGTAATTTTGATCTGTCACCTCCTCGCGGTGGCGTGGGGACATGGTCAATTGCCACGAATCGTACAATAGGCAGGTGATGTTGGGTTGTTGGAAAATGTTTTGCTACGGGTTTGTCCATTTTTTTATCCCGGAATGCAGTAGTGATACCTCAGCGGTGTCCTCCGATTCGATCTCTAAGTGTCATATCAGTTTTGCCTACAAATGAAAGTCCACACGGGCAGGTGATCATGTATATGACATGATCAGTCATGCATTTAATATAATGGTTGATTAGAATTATTTTACCACTATGTAGGTTGGCAAACGTGGATCCACTTGTCATGTGGCTACAAGTGACGCAGCCACTAGATCGCAACCTATCTTCTTGGCTGGTGATGGTTTGGCATAACATTGTCAGGGGTCATTATCTACTAGAAGATCACTGAGGTTCCGGTTTCAACTGTAGCTGATTGGACGTTGTTACGGTACCTCCAGTAACAAATGCACAAACCGCCATTTAGTGAATGCTCCCCGTTCGCAATAATATGGTCTGGTAGCGTATGCAGTGTAACCATGCGAACCGCCAGCTAGGGAACACTCCAAACTCCCGAACGGTACCTGTACGGCTCTTTCCCTTCTCGAGCTCCAAATGCACGAATCGCCAATAGCAGCCGAACGGCAATAGTTTCCAAGCGGCAAATAATTCCAATAAGCAGTCTCTAGGCGCCGATAATAAAATCCCCCCAATAACGAGACCAAGCTCCGCTTTGAGGGTAAAACACGAACTGAGTTTACTGTGGGCTACCTGCCCGTATTTATGCAGGTCTCCCACTTGGTGGACACTCCCCTAGGGGACCAAATGGGAGACTGAAATGACAGAAGGACATGGGGACATTCTGGACATACATCCCACAATATTCCCAGCATGCATCACAGTTTCCTCCCCTCTGCTCGGGAGATAATTGGGAAGTAATTCAATTATTTTCCCGAGCAGAGGCACATCGCCATTTTAACTCAAAGTTATAAAACACATTAAAATCCATAACTTTAATACTGCCGAACGTATTGCATTCGTATAACACATCCCCAGATAGCCTGGTCTAAGGTACAAGTTGGGGTAACGGGTCTTACCTGGGTCTCAGCAGCAGGTGGGCCGGTCTCGGCGGCACGGGTCGTGACAGCGTCCACTTCAGGGGGACCCATGGGAGCGAAGGCTGAAACGAGGGGTGCCAAGTCATTGCCAAGGAGGACATCCGCTGGTAAATCCTTCATGACCCCCACATTTACATGTCTAGCGCCCACTCCCCAATCCAAATGTACCCGGGCAATAGGTAGGCGAAACACGGGTAGCACTCCTCTTCCTCTACACAGTGAGCGGCTGGGAGAGGTGGTCGTGGATTGCCCCTGGCTGGTCTCCTCCAGGACTGGTTCTGGTTGGCACTGTTCATCGGGCACTCCGGTCACTTGTGCCCTAGCTGCTTGCATAGGTAGCACCGAATGGGTTGTGCGTACTCCCGTGAGTTAAACCTGGGTGGTTGTTGATACGGGGCAGACGGAGGGGGTGCTGATGGCCGATTCATTGGAGGCTGATAGATGTTAGCTGCTGTTGGTGCTGCTGGCCTGTACTCCACTCTGGCGGGAGCCTTGCTGATGGAACTGTCCAGTTTGCGGGCATCGGTATACTCATCCGCCAGGCGTGCTGCTTCATGTAGAGTGGAGGGTTTACGGTCCCTTACCCACTCTCTGACCCCTGCTGGTAATTTGTCAAAGCAATGTTCCAAAAGAAACATCTGTAGCACCTCTTCTCCGGACACAGCCTGGCACCCCGCCATCCAGTGGGCGGCTGTGCGGTGCACCTTACATGCCCATTCAACGTACGAGTCCCCAGATGTCTTGACAGTGTCTCGGAACCTCCTCCGGTATGCCTCGGGTGTAACGGCATACCGGGAGAGTAAAGCTTCCCTGACGGCCACATAATCCCCAATTTTCTCATCAGGGATGGCCCGAAAAGCCTCGCTGGCCCGGCCGGATAACTTGCCAGACAATATAGTAACCCAGTCTTCCAGGGGTACCTTGTGTAGGGCACATTGCCGCTCAAAATCAGCAAGGTACCCATCAATCTCTCCTTCTGTCTCACTGAAGGCTTTAAATACAGTAAATGGCACTTTCTTTCTTTCTCCCGGGTTTGCTGTGACTGGGGCTGCTGCAGCACTGCTTTGGCGAAGCAGGTTGGCCTCCACAGCTGCCATGAACCGGTCAATGGTCTCTATAGTCGGGTTGGGACCATAATGGGCCAGCCTGATTCTTACCGCCCGGTCAAAGCTTGCCTCCTCGGGGGTTCTGTCAGCTGTGCTGGGTCCATTGGTTCCCTCTGCCGCTGGTACTCCATCCATTTCCAGCAATAACGCAATAATATCCCTTTTTCTGAGGTTACTGGCTTGTCCGCCTCTTTGCTCTAATAAATCTTTCAGGGTAGCTCTTCTCAGGTTTTGATATTGTAATTCCATTTTAATCCTGGTTGTAGTGGTCTCTTTGGGCGCTGAGGATCATCCCGTCGCTTGCCACCAGTTGTTACGGTACCTCCAGTAATAAATGCACAAACCGCCGTTTAGTGAATGCTCCCCGTTCGCAATAATGTGGTCTGGTAGCGTATGCAGTGTAACCATGCGAACCGCCAGCTAGGGAACACTCCAAACTCCCGAACGGTACCTGTACGGCTCTTTCCCTTCTCGAGCTCCAAATGCACGAATCGCCAATAGCAGCCGAACGGCAATAGTTTCCAAGCGGCAAATAATTCCAATAAGCAGTCTCTAGGCGCCAATAATAAAATCCCCCCAATAACAAGACCAAGCTCCACTTTGAGGGTAAAACACTGTGGGCTACCTGCCCGTATTTATGCAGGTCTCCCACTTGGGAGACTGAAATGACAGAAGGACATAGGGGCATTCTGGACATACATCCCCACAATATTTCCAGCATGCATCACAGTTTCCTCCCCTCTGCTTGGGAGATAATTGGGAAGTAATTCAATTATCTTCCCGATCAGAGGCACATCGCCATTTTAACTCAAAGTTATAAAACACATTAAAATCCATAACTTTAATACTGCCGAACGTATTGCATTCATATAACACATCCCCAGATAGCCTGGATCTGAGTGCATATTATTGGCAAATAGCGCTCAGATCCCATACGCATAGTTCAATCGCCATCTGGGTTAAGTCCATTCGTGTTATTAAATCTCCCGAACGGCCGGTTTTCGTATGCTTTTGTCGATTGAGAAGGGGAGGTCGACGGCTTCAGCAGTGTTCGGTTGAAAAAGTGTCCGTTTTTAGTTCCATGAAATAATTGTCGCACACCGCTGGGCTTTCGCATAGTCAAAATGGCTGCCGTCTCGTGGTCGACATACGAACGGCGACCACCCGGTATTCGGTTTTAATTGAGAAGTGTCTGTGGTTAACCGCAACGTTCTAATTGGGATCAATAGGTTAACCAGCAGCACACTTCTCTTCTGGGTGGCCGTCCGTTCGGTAGTTCCGTTCGACAAAAAAAAGACATTCCCTTAAACAAAGCATACGAATGGGGAAATTCATACAAACGGCAAAACAGACGAACACAGCAATTCTAGTCCATACAGATGGGTCTGTCACAGACGTTTAATTGGTAGACTGTTATCTGACTGCAGGATATTCCAGTGTTTTTGTATGGAATTCCAGAGTTGCGAAGTCCCAGTGTGGAAGGTGAGTGGTAAGAATATATTGTTGCAAGGGACCTGTTTTTTATTTTTTTTTGAGCAGTTAAATCGTTCCATTGCCTTTGTCTTGGCAGTGGCTAATACCCGTGGATGGAAACCTCTTGATAGAAATCTGTCCCAAATGTCCTGTAATTGATGTTCACGGTTTAGCGGGTCACTATTGTAACGTATGGCTAAGAAAACTGTGAGATGGGTAGTGAATCTTTTATATGCTGAAGATGGAAGCTTGATGCTGCAAGTAATGCATTGCGGTTGGTTTCTTTGTGAAAAAGTGAAAAGCCTATCCGATTTTCTTCTTTGAAGATCGTGACGTCCAAAAATTGGATACTTGTTTTATGCCAACTCAGAGTGAGAACTACAGGTATCGAGAGACTGTTAATACGGTCAACCATTTCATTTAATGTGGATATGGTACCTTCCCATATCAGAAAGATATCATCCACATATCTCAAATATTTAATGATGTGATGTTTGTAAATTTGTTTTATTTGTGTTATCAAAGTCAAGAAAAAAATAGTACTCGCAGGTCCCAAGAGACATATCACCGTCTACAATAGTATGGGCACCATTCATTAGTGCGGTTAGCATAACATGTGGTAACGTTCTCGGGCTCGCAGGCCCACAATGTTGCCGGACACGCAGGTCCCTGGTAATTTCTAGCGTCACAGCTATGGTTTTTGAGTGCACCAATTGTCACTCTGTACCCAGGCGTTAATCTGATCATGGGCGTTGGGGTGGGAAACTGTCCGGACTCCGTTCAGTCCCTCTATTGCTGTTTACGTGTCAGGATTATTCAGTCATTGTTTGGAGTTTGTCTGTGTATGGTAGGGTTTGTACATGTGGACCTGAGTTTTCTTTTTGTCGCGTACCCGCGGTTCTGTCATCAGATGTCATGTTTGTTCCTTCTGCGTATCTGAACGGTTGTTGCATATCTCCTTGCTACTTATCCTTTTCCCTTGTCCTATGACGTCGTTGTGCATAAGTTTTTAACTTTCTTTCTGTATTTTCGTATTTGTCGTATGTCTAGGTGTGAACTTGGGTGTAAAGAGTTACGTTGTCTTGTTTCTGGTGTTTAATGTGTGTGCTATTGTGTCTGTGGTCGCTCAGCATGTGTTACTCGTGTGTATTGCTGTTTTGTGTGCTCCTTGGCTGCGATGTTTGTTATGTGTCCTCTCTATTCTACTCGTGAGTAATATCTGCTACTAGTGTGAGTGTCTCCTTTGTCATCCATGTTCCTGCATATTATGTGTGTGTGAAGGCTTTCCCCTTTTGAGGATAGGGAGGGGAAGTGGGGGGGGGGATAGGGGGTGTGGAGAGGGAGGGATGGTGTCTGTCTCACTCCGTGTCGCGTCTGGGCCCAGTCCCGGGCTCGTCTCAGCTCTCCCGGCTGAGTGCGCTGTTTCTGAGTCTTGTGTTAAGAGATGTACAATATCCAGGGTGTCCACAGCTCTGTATGTTTGTCCTCCTTGCCTATTGTTTCGGCTATTTTGGCTTCTGCTCTTCTTATGTCTTTGACTTTATTCTTCCATTGTTCCATTGTGGGTATATGTTCTTCCCTCCAGTGCAGTGGGATTAGGGATTTCACCGCGTTTAGCAGGTGTCGCAGAATTGACTTTTTGTAAGAGGGTATGGGTCGGTCCGTGTGGTGTATGAGAGCGGCTCCCATTGTGAGGTCCATAGGGTCTCCTAGGATATGTTCTATTTCCTGCTCTATGTTCTCCCAGTACGGTTTAATTTTATCGCAATCCCACCAGATGTGCTTCAGTGTTCCGGGGCTGTCTCCGCATCTCCAGCAGATGTTCGGAATGGTTGGTGCAAATCGATTTATCAGGGAGGGGGTGCGATACCAGTGTGTAAGGAGCTTGTAGTTTACCTCCTGGTAGTGGGAGCTAGTGGAGCTTTTGTGTTGTAGGATTAAGATCTTTTCCCACTGGGTATCCGCAAAAGCTTCCCCCGTCCATTCCTCCCACTGCCGTTTGTATAGGGTGTTTTCTGTTCTATGTCCTGTCAGCATGCTTTGATATATCATGGAGACCCTCCCTTCAGTCGCTGTTGTCTGAGTGCATAGGTTCTCGAACCACGTGAGGTCCCTGTGTATTTTGGCTCTATGTGGTAGGTTGTGGTAGTAGTGGGTTAGTTGGGCGTAACGGAATTGGTGCAATAGTGTGTGTGGTCTCTCTTCCAATATGTCCCGCAGTGGTTTCACTCCCGTGTTGCTTAGGGTTGCGTAGATAGGTATGTATCCATCTTGGTGCTCCATCGGCCAAGCCGTTGGCGGGAGGCTGTCCCGCAGGTTAGGGTTGTACGTGATCGGTATCAGCGGGCTGGGTTTGGGTGAGATCTGCTGTCCTTTCCTCAGCTTGTTCCAGTGTCTCAGGGTGTGTGTAAGTGGGGAGTCTTCTCCCAGTATTATGTATGCGTCTGCTTCTCTGTGCCAAATCAGTGTGTGTAGTCTTTTCTCGGTGGATTCCCTCCAGAGCGTTACCCACCTTCTGTCGGGTGTGTCCGTGTGGAGTTCCTTGAGCCTCTGCAGTACTGTAGCCTGGTGGTATTTTCTAATGTCGGGCAGGGCTAATCCTCCCCAGTTTCTTGGTAAGCAGAGCTTGTCAAAGCTAATGCGGGCCTTCTCTCCTTTCCAAATATAATGTGTGATTGCTGTTTTAAGTGTCCTGAAAAACGCCTGCGGAATCACCTGTGGGGCTGTGTGAAATATGTAGAGTAGCCTCGGTAAAACATTAATTTTTATCACTGCAATTCTCCCCAGCCAAGATATGTGGGGGTAGTGCCATCTTTTGAGGTCCTCGAGAATGGTCTTCAGGAGGGGCATGTGATTTTGGGCGTAGATGTCTTTGGTCTCACGTGTGACCCACAGCCCAAGATATTTCATTCGGCTTGGGCACCAGTGGAAAGGGTATTACCGTTTAAACTGAGCGCATTCTTCCTCAGGGACGGTGACATTTAGGATTTCGCATTTTGTCAGGTTCAATTTGAGTCCGGACAAGCGTCCATATGTTTCGAATTCCGACATTAACTGTGCGGCGGAGATTAGCGGATTCTCGAGAAAGAATAGCATGTCATCCCCGTATGCGGCCACTTTGTGTTCATGCGTTCCGTGTCTAAAGCCCATTATCCTTTCATTTTTCCTAATGCTGTCTAGAAGCGGCTCTAGCGTGAAGGCGAATAGTAGGGGTGATAGCGGGCAACCCTGCCTCGTGCCATTTTTGATGTGGAAGTCGTCTGTGAGTGCCCCATTTACTCGAATCCTGGCAGTTGGTTGGTTGTATAGTGCCGTGATCCATGTGAGCATGCCGTTTCCGACACCTGTCGCACGTAGTGCCTCCGTCATGAAGTGCCAATCTACTCTGTCGAAGGCTTTTTCAGCGTCCGTCGACAGCAGTAGTAACTTCGTTCCCATTTTCTTTGATAGATGCTGTATGGCGAAGAGCCTTAGGGTGTTGTCCCTGGCCTCTCGGCCAGGTCTGAAGCCCGTCTGGTCTGGGTGTATTAGTCTAGTCATGTGTCTTTGTAGTCTTTTAGTCAGGACCTTCGAAAACAGCTTGACGTCCGCGTTGAGGAGTGAGATTGGGCGGTAGTTTCCAACCTGTTCGGTGTTCTTGCCCGGCTTCGGGATTACCGCTATTGTTGCGGCCAGAGTCTCTTTGTGGAAGGCTGTGCCGTCTCTCAGGCTGTTCAGGGCTCTGGTGAGATGCGGTACGAGGGTGTGTCCGAATTTCTTAAGATATTCCACCGGGAAGCCGTCCGGGCCCGGTGTTTTCCCTGTTTTCGCTTCTTTCAGTGCTAGTCGGATTTCCCCTTCTGTTATCGGAGCTTCGAGTTCCTCTGCCTCTTCCGGTGTGAGGGCGTTCGGTTGGAAGTTCCTCAGGTATGCTGCCGTGTCTCTCTGTTTTGCGGCCCTTGGGGGATCTCCTTCGTCCTTGTTTATATTGTACAGTGTAGTGTAGAACTTTTTAAATTCATTCGCAATTTCTTCCGGAAATTGTGTGGTACGGTTGTGTGTGATACGTATAGCTTGTACCTGTGCCCTGCCCTGTGTGCCCCTCAGCATCTGTGCTAGTAGTTTGCCTCCCTTGTTGGCGTGTGTGTAAAAGAAGGCGCGCGAACGCTGTATTGTTCTTGCATGTCTGCGTTCTAAGATCTCTGCCAACTGTTTTCAAGTCGCTATAAGGGTCCTGTAGGTCTGTGCTTGTTGGTCCAGTTTGTGCGCCGATTCCAACTCTGAGATTTGTGGTGCGAGCTCCCTGATTTGCTGGCCGGCCTCCTTCTTGCGCTGGGTAGCCATGCGGATGAGGTGGCCCCTAATCACACTTTTATGAGCTTCCCAGAGCGACATGGGAGTCACGTCATCCGTGTCGTTCTCCTCAAAATACTGGTTTAGGTGTTCTGCGATCTTCTCCCTCATCGTCGCGTCTGTCAGCAAGGAGTCGTTTAGCTGCCAGGTCGTTTTAGTCGGTCTGAACAGGGGTGAAGCAACAGTTGCCTGCGCCGCGCTGTGGTCCGACCATGTTGTGGAGAGAATAGCTGTTTTCTGTACGTACGTGAGTCCCTCTTGCTGCACCAGGATATAGTCGATTCTGGAGTATCTGTCGTGGACAGTGGAATAGTACGTGTAGTCCCTTCCCTCTAGGTTAAACGCTCTCCATGTATCCACCAGCCTCAGGTCCCTGAGGGCTTTGTGCACTGTCTTAAGCGTCGCTGTTGGTACACTGCTATGGCCCCTGGAGGTGTCCATCTTAGGATCCAGTGGGACATTAAGGTCGCCTCCCAGTATAAGGGTGCCCTCCGTGAATCGGGATAACTTCGTTAGTGTTCTCCTGAGGAAGCTGGCTTGGCCACTGTTGGGTGTGTATATCGTGGCGAAGGTATAGACCTTCCGCGCCATCTCGCCCTTGACGAAGAGGAATCTGCCTCCCGTATCCGCTAGCGTGTCTGTTGGTTTGAATTGTAGGTGTGATGCCAGGAGGATTGCACTTCCAGCTTTGCGCGCTGTTGGGTGGTTACTATAGTAATTCGTTGGATACGTTTTATCTATGAGCAGTTTGTTTGTTTCTGGTCTGAGATGCGTTTCACTGACACATGTTGTTGTTTGAGACTGCGCAAGAGGTGCGACCTTCGCTCCGGGATGTTGAGTCCTCTGCAATTTTGGGAGTGTACCACTAAGGGTGACGGCGTGTACGCCATTCGTGTTCCCCGCGGTACCAAATGGGTCAGTGCCGCCGTTCCTGCCCCTAGAACCGGGAGGGGACCACAAGCGCTTTCCTACGGGTCGGCCCAGATGCGTCCCGGCGAGCTCCCTCCTGGACGGTTATGGGTGATCAGGGAGGGTAAGGTAGGGGTAGGACTGGGTAGTGTTCGTGTGTTGTGTACCCTGTCGTGGGTTGCTAGGGGTCGGGTGTGAGTATTTGCCTCCCTTTTGTGTCTAAGAGTCGGAGGTGGCTGTCCTCCTCTCCTTTTATTGCCCTATGTGTGTTAGTGCAAGTGTTGTTTGGTTGTATTCCACCTCCCAATGTGGGAAGGCTCCGTGTAACTGGGTAGATAGTCAGAGCCGTACCGCCGGAGTCTAGGTCCGGCTGGGCGTCGGCAGTGAGTCTCCCAATGGTTAGTCTACACGGGTATTACGTCAGGTAGTGGCCTGTACTTTGTAGTGTGATCGAAGTAATCTATTAATGTGGTGTGGGTCGTCGTTCCCGCTGTATGTGTAGCTAAGCGGGTGCACCTTGTTGTACAGTATGAGTTGCTCTGTGATAACCTTGTCAATGAGGTGGTATTTGCGTCTGTCATGACCTAGGCCTAGGTCTGTGTATCGCGTGCAGTTAGCGTAGCGAGTCGTCTCCCTATATAACGGTCAGTCGTCTTGCTCACGGTGGGAGTCGGGGTGTCACCTCCTCTGAAGGGGGTGGGTCCCATAGGGGCCAATTCGGGGGGGTGTTTGCAGTGTTTTTGGGGGGGGGTTGAGGGTGTTTCCAAGGAGTATCTGTGGGCCATTGGGCATGCTTGCGAGCTGGTGTGCAATTACTCATGGAACGTGCTGACCTGCCCCTTACAGCTTGTTGTGAGGTAGTAGTGGTGGTAGTGCCGTCAGGGCTTATTGTGTCCTGGGTGCCGTCAGGGTCTGTGGTATGTGTGGGGGAGTACACTCCTCCGCACTGGGTCTCGTTGGGCACCTTAACCTATTGGGCTCCCATCTCGCCACCTCGTTTCTCCTCCTTATCCCCTCCGAGTTGCTGTGAGGCGGGGCGGTGTCATCTTCCAAGTATACAGAGGATCATGTACATACATGTATATTCATTGAACACATTTTTTCCTCCTGGTTACCCCACTTTCTTTCCTCTAGCACTCCCTCTCTCATACTTTGGGACTTCAATATCCCTATCAACAAGCTCAATTGCCCTGATGCCTCTCGTCTGCTCTCTGTAACCTCCTCCTTTGGACTCACACAGATTTCTTCCTCAGCAACTCACACTGCAGGAAACACTCTTGACCTCATCTTCACCAATCTCTGTACTACCTCTGATCTCGCCACTGCTCTATTTCCTTTGTCTGACCACCATCTGCTAACATTTAACATCTGCATACTCCATACCAAAATCTCACCACCGTCCACTCTCCAACCTCGCAGAAACCTCAACTCTCTCGATCTCCAGCACTTCTCCACTAAACTCCAAACACTCCTTTTACCCATCTCAAATCACAACTGCCCTAACTCTGCAACCTCACTCTACAACTCCACTCTCTCCTCTCAACTTGACATCATGGCACCTCCTACAGTTAAACACAGCAAGCGCCCCCAACTACAACCCTGGCACACCAAGCTGACCCGTTACCTCCAAAAATGTTCCTGAACGCTGCTGGAGAAAGTCTCACTTTGCATCTGACTTTGTCCACTATAAATTTATGCTGCGCTCCTACAGCATGGCTCTTTCCTCTGCAAAAGTAAGCTACTTCAACACCCTCATAAGCACACTGTCCCACCAACCCAAACACCTGTTTCACACTTTTGATGCACTTCTTCGCCCTGTGACTCCCCCTCCTTCCACCACCTTGTCCGCCACAAACTTTGCATCTCATTTCACTGAGAAGATCTCTACAATCAGGAAAGAGATCTCTAATCTTTCTCCAAGCAGTATCAATACATCACCCAACCCCACTCCCCCTGTCATCCTAAGCTCATTTTCACCTGCTACAGCACAAGAGGTTTCTGCTCTGCTCCTGTCCTCCCGCCCCACCACCTGCTCCCTCGATCCTATTCCCTCGCATCTCATCCGCACTTTGTCTCCCTCTCTTGCTCTTCCTCTCGCTAACATTTTCAATCTCTCCCTTTCCTCTGGCACATTTCCCTCTGCCTTCAAACATGCAACCGTAACCCCAATTCTGAAAAAGCCCAACCTTGATCCCAACTCCCCATCCAACTACCGCCCTATCTCGCTACTGCCATTTGCCTCCAAGATCCTCGAGAGAGTTGTCTATGCCAGATTGACAGACTTTCTTGAATCCAACTCTCTGCTTGACCCCCTTCAGTCTGGATTCCGCGCTGGTCACTCTGTCGAAACTGCTGTGACCAAAGTATCCAACGATTTAATTGCTGCTAAATCTCGCGGCCAATACTCTATCCTAATCCTCCTTGATCTTTCTGCCGCCTTTGACACTGTTGATCATCAACAGCTTCTTCATATTCTCCGTAACTTTGGTCTACGGGATTCTGCTCTCTCCTGGTGCTCCTCCTACCTCTCCCAGCGCTCCTTCAGTGTTTCTTTCTCTGGCTCTGCCTCCTCTCCCCAACCCCTCCCTGTCGGCGTCCCCCAAGGTTCTGTCCTCGGCCCCCTACTGTTCTCTATCTATACTGCCTCCCTTGGTAAACTCATCGGCTCTTTTGGCGTCCAATACCATTTATATGCAGATGACACGCAAATCTACCTGTCCTCCCCTGATCTCTCTCCGCCCACCTTGACTCGTGTTTCTAACTGCCTCTCTGCTATTTCCAACTGGATGGCTGCTCACTTTCTTAAACTCAACCTGTCCAAAACAGAACTTCTAGTTTTTCCTCCCTCAAGTGCTGCTACTCCTGTGTCTGTCGCCATCCAAGTCAACGGCGCTACTATCACCTCTACCTCCCAGGCTCGCTGCCTAGGAGTTCTTTTTGATTCTGATCTCTCTTTTACTCCCCATGTTCAATCGATAGCCAAATCCTGTCGCTTCCAACTCAAGAACATAGCGCGCATCCGCCCATATCTAACGCCGGACGCGGCTAAGGTACTGGTTCATGCTGTTGTTCTCTCTCGCCTTGACTATTGCAATCCCTTTCTCACAGGTCTTACATGTTCCCAGCTTGCAACTCTGCAATCTATAATGAATACGGCTGCGAGGCTTATTTTCCTGTCCGGTCGCACCTCCCACGCCTCCACGCTCTGTCAGTCCCTGCATTGGCTTCCAGTTAGATATAGGGCCCAATTCAAAATTCTGGCGCTTGCTTACAAATCCCTACATAATGCTGCTCCAACATACCTATCTTCCCTCATACACAAGTATGTCCCGACGAGACCCCTGTGCTCAGCCCAAGACCTACTCCTATCCTCTGCCCGGATCCCCACCTCTGATGCTCGCCTTCAAGACTTCTCCAGGGCTGCACCTATTCTGTGGAACTCCCTTCCCTCCTCAATCAGACTTTCACCCAGCCTCCATTCCTTCAAAAAATCTTTGAAAACTCACTTCTTTATTAAAGCGTATCAATTAAACTGTCAGCAGGTTTCTCATCCCCCACCCCATGACTCCGTTCCTTCACCTGTCAAAAATGACCTACCAAGCACTCAATAAACCCTTCTGTAACAAACTATTTAATTCCCCTACTTTAACCCTTTGTGTCACTATACCCCACTCCCTCTAGCATGTAAGCTCATCGAGCAGGGCCCTCAACCCCCTCTGTTCCTGTACGTCAGTGGTCTGATCTCAATTATGTGTCTGTTAGTCCACCCATTGTACAGCGCTACGGAATTTGTTGGCGCTATATAAATAATAAAATAATAATAATAATAATAATAATACATTTGTATACATTTCTAGTTTTTTTTTATTTTTTTATTATTATTCCCCCCCCCCTTCCCCCTTCTACTCCTCCCTCCCCCCTTTACCTTTTTCTTTCCTTGAAGTAACCTTAAACAATTCGGAGTGTAATCAATATAGCTATGTTGAAAATATGTAGCTTATTGTGGACAGGTGTATCGCATGTGTGCCATCTCCCCACTCGTCCATGTTCCCAGTTGCCTCCCCTTCTCCCTCTCCCTCCCCTCCGACCCGGGTTCCCAGGATCCTTGACCTTCTCCTCTCACCCCCCCGGGGGTAAAGTAATAGCCGTTTCCTAGATCTCAAGCCCCTGCCTCTCCTTCTCCCCCCCCGCACTGTTCCCTTGTAAGTGCCCGTTGGCTATCGGCCTGTGCCAAGTTTCTGTGGTCACGTGTCTTGTTTGGGTGTCTGTTGTTTCCTCATCCGAGTGCAGTGTGTCCTGCTCAAGGCCTTTAGTCCCTGTCCCTCTGCACGTACCTTTCGTATCCCCCCTCCCCAACATGTTGTCATTCCCAGAAGCATCCATGTGTGGTCACTTAGCAACTGACCTTGGTGATAAGTCGGCCCCAAAGTAGCGGGCTTTGCGGCGTAGCCATGTCTTTACTACCATCTTTATGGTGGGTGGTTCTGGGCCTAGCCCGACCGCGCTGCCATCAGCAAGTGGTCTGGGTGGGGTGGGCGTCATGGGGGTATGTGTCAATGTCTATAGCGTTACGTGTGTAGATGTGTAGAGTACTTATCTGTGCGTCCATTGTGTCCTATGTCCAGTCTTCATCGTCTGCAGGAGATTCTTCATAGTGGCTGCACTGCATTGTGGCAATAATCTTCTGTCGTACTGCCTAGTGTTCTCCGGGTTGTGCTTGTTGCTGGGCCGGTAGTTGGTGTCTGCGAGCTGGGAGGCCTTGCGGAGAGTCCTCTCTGCGGCGTCTCGGGGCTCTTGGGGCTGGCTGATTGTTCCTCTGTTCCAGGGAGCCCAGGACCCAATCAGCTACCTCCATGTTTGGCAGGCCCATGGTTCGTAGGAAATTTGGTACCTCATCGGGCCAGCATAGGGATCTCCACTCATTGTTATGTCTTGCTGTGAGGCAGAATGGGAAGCCCCACTTATACGGGATGTTGCGGCTTCTTAGTAGTTGCGCAACTGGTCTCAGGGCTTTTCTTGCCTCTAGCGTGAGTGGGGACAGGTCGTGGTATAGAGCAATTTCTGAGCTGCCGAACCGCCACGTTGGTTTGGTTCTGGCTTTCGCCATAATGAGCTCTTTTATCTTGTACTCATGAAGACAGCAAATGATGTCTCTCGGCGGGCTGCCGTCCATCTTAGGTCTCAGGGCTATGTGTGCTCGATCGAATTCGAATCTCTGCGGGGCGTCAGGGCCCAGGATTTCCATGAAGAGGGCCGTGAGGGTTGCTGCAACATCTTCTGCACCTTGAGCCTCTGGTAGATTGCGGATCCGTATGTTTGCTCTGCGCCCCCTGTTGTCTAGGTCTTCCGTCTGTCTTCTCAGTTGCAGGAGCATCGTGCCCAGTTTAGTTATTGCTGTGTTGGTAGCCTCCAGTCTGTTTACCGTTGTTTGATTCGTGGCTTCAAGGGATTGTATGCGGCCATCTTGTGCTGCAATGTCTCTCTGTATGGTGGCTACTTCTGATCTGATTGCCTCGTGCAGGTTGGCAGACAGAGCCTGGAGGTCTGACTTGGTGACCATAGCTTCAGTGAGGGCCCTAATGTCTGCTCTTATGTCTGCCAATGAGGGGCCCTGTGCCTCAGTGGTCCGTGGTGCTGCGGCCTGTCCGTCGGCCATCTTGGCTCCCGGAGCGGCGCGTGTCTGTCTGGCTGGGGTTCGGAGGTAGCCGTCTAGTGTGCCCGGGGTCTGCTGTTGTTGTGGCCAGCCCTCTGCTGGGTGGGAGTCCGGCCGTTTGTTTCGTCCCATTTGACAGGTCTGTAAGCTGAGGGTGCGCTGTTTATGGCTGAGCGGGACGGAGCTCCGCGATCAGGCAGCCATCTCCTTTGGCATCCAGGCCACGCCCCCCTAATGATGTGATATTGATATTCCGGTAATATGTATTTGCTCTCAAACCAATACATGAATCCATTAGCATGTGATGGTGCCATGGCTGCTCCCATGGCAGTTTCGGAGGTCTGTAAATAAAAATGGTCTTAGCAGTAAGAAATCAGAAAACGAGGTTCGCAGGCCTCCATGGAAAACATTTTGGCAGGTTATAACACAAGGTATTTGTCAGTTTATTACAATGTACGGCTCATATGACTTTGAGACAATGCTTAATTATAATGGTATAAGGCATGACTGGTATATATGCGGCTTGTACAGATACAGCGTGAGAGTTTTTTCCCGATGGTCAGTCTCAGGCCGTATCCTTACATGTTTACGTGGTTTATGTTCCACGTTCTGTGCCTGACCTCCTGTGTGTGTGTATATATATATATCTTTTATTCCAGTATGGTGCTTATGTTCCCAAGTCATAGATGAGTTTAGCAGGGGTGAGTGTTGTAGAGAGAGGAAAGTAAAGAAGAAGAAGGCTATGTTAATATAGAAGGGTCCTTCCCTGGTTTCCGCACCCCCATATCTAAGTGAGGTGAGCGATGTGTAGGTACGTAGTGTTCGGGTTTTGTTATGTTCTGTTGTAGTGGCTTGTGGTGTGTATTCAAGGGAATGCAGTGTGGTCCTTTTCCGTGCTACTGTCTTTCGTTATGGAGATGTCTGGGGTCTGGTCCAATATGTTGTGTTGGGCCCTCCCCTCTGTGCGTCAGTCCTCTGGTTGCCCGTCTGTGTGGTGTATCCTGTAGCCTGTGTTGGGGGTCATGGTGTGTGTTAACCAGTCGTGCGGGCCTTGAGTGGGGTTATGTGACGCCATGTTGTCGGTCGTCTAGTGTGTGCGTGCGTATGTCCTGTAAAAAACAGGAGTCAGCAAGGGATTGTATGTTTCCATGGACTGTGACTCCTACCGAAGTGAGGTATTCCATAGGGGGGTTATGGCCAGTAAAAGGGATGGGTCTGGGACCCACTGTCCAGTCCTCCGCTCCCGACGTGCTTGTTGTGGACCCACTATGAGAACCAAGGTCGCCACGTCTCCACGTGTCTTGTCGAACGCCCCGCCAGGGATGCCTGTAGCGCCTCTGCCGCCTGTATGTCTCTGACCCTATGGAGCCATTCCTCTGTAGTGGGGACTTCTGATCTCTTCCAATAGACTGGAATCAGGGATTTGGCAGCATTCAGTAAGTGGCGTAGGATTGATCTTTTATATCCGGGAATTGATTGCGAAGTGATGTGCAGTAGGGCCAATTCTCGGGACCATTCTGTGTCATCCCCTAGGATCGCTTTTATTTCTGAGTGAATATGATCCCAGTATTGCGTGATGGCTCGGCATTCCCACCACAAGTAACAAGGTGCCTCTCGTCTCCTGACATCTCCAGCAGATTGGGGATGCCTCCGGAAAGAGCTTCTGCAGTGCAATCGGGGTCCTATACCACATGGGGATCAACTTATAGTTGACCTCCTGATAGTAGGAGCTAGAGGAGCTCTTATGCTGCCATAATAGTGCCATTCCCCATTGTGCTGGTGTGATTGGTATGTTTTTCCCACCATCTCTGGAAGGTATTATTATCCGAAGAGGCCCCTATCAGCAAATGTTGGTAGAGTGTAGATACCACTTTTTCGAGTTTGGCACCTCTGCGGCATAGACCTTCGAACCACGTAAGGTCTCTGTGCAGTAGGATTTTGTGAGGTAAGGAATCGTAATAGTGTGCCAGTTGCAGATAGTGGAGGGTCAGTAGGGGCGTCTATGGTCTGCAAGCCAGCAGTGAGTTTAGGGACCGTATGGTTCCCCCTTCCAGAATCGTGCAGAACAGGACATATTGTGCCATTCTTCTAGCTGATTTCCATATCTTCAGTGTCTGTGCCACCGGGTTCCCATCCCCCTCCTTCCTGCATCGACCTGTCCCTTCCCGCCATACATCAGCTTTAAGTTTTGTTTCGGATTTTCGGCTGCGTGCCACTCCAGGATACGCTGCATTGTGGTAGCTTGGTGGTACTTTTTAAAGTCCGGGAGTGAACGGCCTCCTCTGGGTGTGGGTAAGCATAGCGTTTCATGTCGTAGACGGGATCTTTCCCCTCTCTATACATATCGGATGACTGCCGATTTCAGACTCGAAAAGAAGGCTGTCGGTAACTATGTTGGGATGGTTTGAAACATGTATAGGATTCTTGGCAGCACATTCATCTTAAGGACCGCTATCCGGCTGTGCCAGGTAATGTGCGGATATGCCCAGCGGTCCGAGGTCACTTGTTGTAATATGGCAGCAAAATTGTGTCGGTAAACGTCTTGTGGATTAGTGGTTATCCAGATGCCCAGGTATTTCATCTTCCCCTTGCACCAGCGGAATGGGAAAGCGGCGCTTAGTGTAGCATATTCATTTGGCGGGAAGGTAACGTTGAGAACCTCACATTTCGTTAGATTAAGTTTGAATCCTGAGATCTTGCCAAAGCGTTCAAATTCTAGGAGTAGACAGGGCATTGTGATTCGTGGGTTAGAGATGAAAAAGAGAAGGTCGTCCGCATAAGCAGCCACTTTGTGTTCTGACCCCTTCCAAGAGTAACCGTGGATGTCAGGGTTCTGTCTTGCCTGTAGAAGTGGTTCCAGGGACATTGCGAACAAGAGAGGGGATAGGGGGCATCCCTCTCTGGTCCCGTTGTTAATTTCAAAGCTGGAGGTCAGTGCTCCATTCACCCTGACCGCTGCGCGGGGTTTATCGTATAAGGCAGATATCCACGACATCATCTTATGTCCCAGTCCCATGGCCCTCAGCGTTTGCATCATATACGACCAGTTGACCCAGTCGAAGGCCTTTTCAGCATCCGTGGAGAGCAGTAAGAGGCGTTCCTGTGAGATTCGTGCTCGGTGTTGTATGGAGAAGAGTCGTCTCATGCTGTCTCGGGCTTCCCATCCAGGAATAAACCCCGTCTGATCCGCGTGGATTATACTTGGTAGCACATGTTGTAGTCTGGTCGCCAGCACTTTTGTAAGAAGTTTCGTGTCCACGTTCAGTAAGGAAATTGGCCGGTAACTGCCGCAGTTCTAGGGGTCTTTCACGGGTTTGAGCAAGACTGCGATCATAGCTGCCAGTTATTCTGTGCGGCTACCTCCTCAGTGCTGATCAGTTCGTCTAGCATGGTTGTCGTGTCTGGAGTTACTCGTTTGCATACGTTATCTTGTAGAAAGGTCTGGGTGGGCGTGGGGATGGTATGTCCCTGCGTTGTCCCATCTGGTGTGGGAAGGTTGTACAGAGCGTGGTAATATTGGTGAAATTCGTTCACAATATCCTCTGGGAACGAGGACGTGGACCCTGAGGGGAGGCGGATTTTGTGTACCCTTGTACGTGGAGTGTCACCTTTCAGAAGGCGAGCCAGGAATTTGCTGCCTTTGTTTGCGTGAATATAGAAGAAATTCTTCGAGTATTGTAAGGAGCGATGGTATCTTCGCGTGATAAGGTCCCTAAGTCGTCATCGAGTATTCGTCAGTTCCGTTTGTGTATCAGCAAGTTGGGTCCGTTTGTGTTGGAGTTCCAACTTTGCGATAGTCTCATAGACTTCCACTAGCTTACGCATTGCCGCCTTCCTCTTGCGGGAAGCTATTCTGATGAGCGTGCCTCGGATTACACTTTTACGTGCTTCCCAGATTGTAATCGGCGATGTACCTTCCCCATCGTTTTTCTCGGAAGTACAGTTCCAGTGCTTGTGTAACTTCCCCAAGTACCTCAGGGTCTTGGAGTAGGGACTCGTTTAGTCGCCAGGTCCAACGGGCTGGCTTAAATAATGGCGATTCCAGTTCTACCATCAGTATGTAATCAATCCGCGAGTAGCGGTTACGGAGTGCCGTGTGGTGGGTGTAGTCCCTGGAGTCTGGGTGGAGCGCTCTCCAGCAGTCCACTAGTCCCACCTCGCCCATCGATTTACGGATCGAGTGAATACTAGAAGGTGGCAGGCAACTACGGCCTGGGGGTCCAATGGGGTGTTAAAATTGCCTCCTATGATGAGTGCCCCTTCCGAGAAGCCTCGTAGCTTATTCAAGGTTTCCCTAAGGAATCTTGCCTAGTTTGCATTGGGCACATAGATCGATACCAATGTGAAGAGTTTGTCGGCAAATCTCCCCTGTGTGTCGGTCATCTTGTCCAGTACCTTGAAGTCCAGGTCAGCGGACAAGATGATGGCAAGCTTTACGCGCCATATTGTGATTGCTGAAGAAATTGTTGGGATAGTACCGATTTCATAGTCTTGGTGCGGATCCCTCTAGGAAGTGAGTTTCTTGAAGCATAGTGACCGATACGTGTGTCTTCCGTAGGTCTCGTGGTAGATGGGTGCAGCGTTCGGGAACATTCAGTCCTCTACAGTTAAGAGTCAGGAAATGCAGTGGGCCGAAGGCATGCGGAGAGCTCGGCGTCTGTTCCCCTGATTCCCCCTCCTTAGCTAGCCGTGGTGTCCCGCCAGGCTCCCTTCCATTGGCGTAGTCGACTAGGTGCTAGTGTTTGGGGTAGCTGCGGGAGCGGAGGGCCAGCCAGCGCACTCCCAGTCAAGAGACGGAGTCACCAATGCAGAAGTTGTCGTGTATACTAATGACCCCTCTCCTTCCCCTTAGTTCTGCCGGGTGTGTCGGCAGTTGTTACCGTATTCTTGGTAGTCGGCGGAGAGTGTTACAGGTGTTACCGGTGCGAGGAGGGTGCGTGTTGTGTCTATGGTGTGCGCCCGTGCCAGAGCCAGGGGAGGGCTACCAGGGAAGTATAAGTGGTGTTGGGTATAGCGGGTAGAAAGGAATAGAGTAAAAAAATGGGGTAAGACAGAGTCCAGAAGTGGAGGTGTCCCTTATGGGGGGAAGAGAAGAGAAAAGAGAGTTTACCTTAGTACCTATTCAGTGTAAGGAGGCAGTAGTCGTGCGACAGCAGGAGTCGCCGGAGGCCACTCTAGTAACCAGACCAAGACGTGGACCTCTGGGAGCTCCGCTGTCAAAGAAAATGCATGACCTTTAATTGGAGTCAATGGCTCTGCTCCAATCCGGTGTGGATATGAAAGATAAGTGAGATATCAATATAGTACCTATTGATCCCCCCCACCAACACCATAGCCTAGTGCTATATGAAATATCTAAAAGCTAGGGCGCCACCTAACAGAAGTGGTACGAATTAATATGAATAGATTAGCTGTGCAACATTAGGGTAGTGCGAAAACAGCATGGAGACATCAACATTCTATCCTTCCCATTGCCCCATTCTCCACCTGCCCCCATCCCCCAGGGTGCCCCCCGTAAATGGATGGTAACCGTGCAAGGCTCCCTCGGTTCCCCTTCGCCCTCCCATATGGAAGGGGTGACCCGCCAGCTAGCCTCATGCACGTGTATGCCGAATATTGTAGCTCCCCGTCAGGACCCCCCTCCAACCTTCACCCCTTCCCAGATGTCTGCTCCTCAATGTCAGTAGCGTTAGGGGCTCTGTCCCTCCCCCTCCCGTGATGCCGCCCCCCCCAGCCGCCAGACCACCCGGTCCCCCGGGGGTATATCCCAGATAGGGTGGGTCATCCCGCCGGTTTGTATGTCTAGGGGGGGGCAACACGGTCAGTAAGTGTGACATGCAACTTCCATCACAACGTGTGTATAATAGCTATGTGCAACATGGAATTTAAATACGGTATGTTGTGTGCAACAAACATTTGCAATGCATGAGGGAGTTTGTTGGGTGAGATACGTGACCAGTGGTGTATACTGGATGGCACTACCCTGTACCATGGGTCCAGAGCATAGGTCTTCAAGAGAGTTGGTGTAGTTTTGCAGCATCATTGTCCCACTGAGCCTTGCTCCGTCCTGAGCAGAGGAGTCCCCTGGTGCCATTGATAGGGAGCACATGTCATGAAGTCAATATCAGGGTCCACCCTAAGCAAAAAGTTCCCCGCAGCAATCCCCCTCCCAAACATTAATCCACGGTACCGTTCATTGTGTGAGTCCACATGGCAAAAAATCCCCCTCTGTAGTTCCCAGTCAGTTAGGAGGAGAAACAGTACCTCCCACCCCCACCCAAAGCTCCTTGGAGACATGGAAATCAGGGACAGCTTCCTGGTGATGGATAGGGGTCGTACCCGGGGGCAAAGCAGGGGGTATCTACACAGTGTTCCCTTCCGCGGAGTGGGTTGGGGAGACATCAGTTCCCATTATAGTGTTCCCTTGAGTGGGAGGGTCAGGAGGGGAGAGCAGGCCTACCTATTATTCTGGTGCCTCCGAGTTGTTGCGTCTGCGGGGTGCTGGACCCCTTAGCGGATTGTCCCCGCGCCTCTGAGGTGCCCGTTGTTGGAGGGGTCTCAATGGGCCTAGGACCCAGTCCTGAATGGATATCGGAGGTAAGTCCAACTCCTCCAGGAATCTCAGGATCTCCTCGGGCCAACGGACCGATACCCAGCCATTCTGGTTGCGAGCTAACAAAGCGAAGGGAAAGCTCCATCTATAAGGTATGTTCCGCTCCTGTAAAGCAGGGACCCCGCGGACCCTGACATTGCACCTGCGCCCCCTGTTATCTAAGTCCTCAACTGACATTCTCATGTGCAGTAACAGCTCCCCTTGGTGTGCAAGGGCCGTATCTGTTGCCTGGTGCCTCATGGTATGGGCTTCTTGCGAGCGTTCCAATTCCTGGATGCGGCCCGTCTGCGCCGTCACCTCCGCCCGGATTCCCGCCATCTCAGCTCTGAGTGCGTCTTGGATGGTAGTAGTAAGGACCAGGAGGTCTGCTTTTGTAGCCATTGCCGCAGCCATAGTGCGGAGTTCGTCTCCTTTCCTCTCCAGTGCGGCGCCATGCGGTTCCCCGGGAGATGGGGCCGTCAGCGCCATATTGGAGCCACTTGCTTCCCCGCTCGCTCGCTCTCATCAGGCTGGGACTGGAGGAATCCATCGGGCCGTGTGTCTGACCCAGTTGGGAGCCCCTCGGTGTCTGGGGGGTATCGGTGCGTCGGTAGCGCCCCATAAACGCTGGTGATTGCTATTTAGCAGGCTGTTTTGAACGCTGGTGGTACGGAGCTCACAAATCAGGCGTACATCCCGGTCAGAGCTCAAGCCACACCCCAAAATAGTTGCAAGTTAAGGCTAACGAAAGCTATTCCATAAGGCATGTAATAAATAGGTCCCCTGTATGCTTAATTTTTGGCCAAAATTTCTTTCATGGCTTCAATGTTTTCCTCATGGCGGTAATTGTGTAAAGACTTCTAATGTGGCTAGAACTATCTCTTTACCCTTAAGGTCGATGTCTTGAATCTGATGGTCAATGAATTGAGCTATA